TAGTTTGCCCATAATCTTTGACAGAATAGGCTTGCTGGGAGGGGATTGGGGCATTTTAAAGCATAAATAATCAAGTTAGTTCTTATCAACTTATGTTTTTGAGACAATTGATTATCTAGTTCAGCTATTTCAGTCCCCACCCTCTTGCCTGACCCCTCCCCCCAGCAAAGTTAAAAAAAACAAAGAAAAATATATATATTACGAGGATTGACTTTCATATCTCTCTGGCCTTCATGACCTTTGAATCAATACTTATGAGGGAAGAGGGTTAAGAGCTTTGTATTTGGTTAAGACAAATGTACAAACTTAAACACCACTCCTATCTTTATACTCATGAATTTCCTGCCCTAATTGTAGGTCTCGTAAGAAGGACAAACTAAGGTATCGGTATCCTCGGGGAGAATCTTACCTGGATGTCATCCAAAGGTTAGTCTGTCATTATAGTTAATCATAAGCTATCTACTCTCAGGATTTGCAAGAAAATTTATCTTCCAGCTTATTTGAGTGCGATTATTTTTCTACCCAAATGCAGGCTTGAGCCGGTAATCATTGAGCTTGAGAGGCAAAGAGCACCGGTTGTAGTGATATCTCACCAGGTTATATTTGCTCTAATGCAGTGATTCAGATGCATTTTTGTTGTCTTTATGGTTTCTGATTGCTATGATTACTATTTCCTTTAATTTTTCTTATTTTTCTGTTTTTGCAGGCAGTATTGCGAGCACTTTATGCTTATTTTGCTGATAGGCCCCTCAAAGAAATACCGCACATTGAGGTAATTAATGGGATAACTAGATCTTGACATCATTTACTGCACATTTTTCTACTGTTTGTTGCATATTTTCCTATGGTTCGTGAATTACATAATAAATCTGCCACACAGGGTTCATTTTTGGCAAAATATGGTAGGTTGTGTTGATAGAATAATGGATGTCAATTCCTTATTAGGTATGCAAATCTTGTTATTGGTCTTGAAGAAACTGATATAAATTTCCTTTTCCATTGCAATTTGCATTGAATCACTTCTTTTGAAATCTAGGCTCCATTTGTTACATTAAATTACTTTTTAGTTTTCTATATCTATTTTATACGTAGAAGTGCTTAAGTTGGTTAATAATGAAAAAGTAATAGTGAAATTGAGGATAATGGTTTAAAAATTTTAAATCGTAGTGGTCAGTATTTTCTAAATACAAATTTTTCCTGTACCTTTGCCACGAACACCCCATACATGCTTTTGACTGACTCCAAAAATTTAAATGTCAAAACATATGAAACTTTCATGAGTAAACACATGAATTTAGGAAGTGAAAAAGAAAAAATGTTTGTAGGTACAAAACCAAGTTTTATATTCTAACATTAGCTTTGCAATTCTTCAGGTGCCACTTCACACAATAATTGAGATACAGATGGGGGTTTCAGGAGTCCAAGAGAAAAGATACAAGCTCATGGACTGAATGAATATCCGGTAAGAGAGACTTTCTTTTTTCTAAAGAATGATGATTTGGTACAGTCAAACCACCGATGTAATATTTTCATTCTTTGAATTACGATTTAACCAAATGGGTAGCCTTAGCTGAACCGAGACTCCAATAAAAAATCATCAATACACAAGGCTTTCACTCTCTTTAATTGTATAAAATGCACGGTGCTTTTGGCATAGGAATCCCTACTCCTTTTGATCAATATGTATACATTTGATTGCCTTGAGAGTAGTCATATTGTATCTTCTGTAAATAAAAATATATTATAGTGATGCTTTGCTTCCAACCTGAAACTAATAACAAGACCAAAAAGTGATGACGCTGGGCTTCTTTCTTCTTTATGTGTTATAATACATGATTGGCTCGTGCATCAAGCTTAAAACTTTATAAATAAAAAAAATATTTATATATAATTATGAATTTTGGAGTTGCAAAGTTTAAAGTACTTGATTTTAATACACAAAAACTAATATAGAAATATTTTAGTATAGGGTGTTGTTAGGTTGACCGGCAGTCACGAGCATAGGTAACAGGTTCCACTAAACTTTAAATACTTGCCCAAAATATGCACCAGAAAAAAAGGAAGGACAGACGTAATGGGCCCCCTCAGGGACTTGACTGACCACATAAATTGACCCATCATATTTTGCATTGCAGTCCCTACTTTCCCCATTAATGCTAAAAAAGAACATTACTCTACTGGTTATTGTTTCCTCAAATTATAATGGAAAAAAAAATATATATATATATATATATATATACATATGTAGTGTCAGTCGAAGGACATGGTTTATTTTAAAATAAACTATATTATTTGTTATGTAAAATTATACTTAAATAGTGAAATAATGTTATTAATTTAATGACTTCATAAATAATTTTGGTCATGGTATCTTCAAATTTTAAATTATCTTGTATAGACAAATTAAATTTAAATAATAATCTACTACAAAACAAATTATAAAATTTTATTTTAGAGGTAAATGAAAACAATAATTTGCTTTTAAAAATAATGTCAACATATCTCTAAGGTCTTGGGATCTTCTCTCGAACAATCATCACATGATTCCAGTAAATCCATAATCCTCTCTCTCTCTAAGCTGCCGTCGCCTTCACGAGTCCTTCTTTTCAGATTTTCAGAACCTCCTTCTCCCCCTTCAACCTCTTTGCATTTATAAGTTCCTGTTTACTCCTTGGATTGAGGGATTCTCTTTTGACTTCTATTCCACTTATGTTTATAAATTTTATAGATTGTCATATTATATATGTAGTATATTATATTATACATACAAACACTCTCCTCTTCATCCCCAACACACGCAACTGCCCCATTCCACTCCGCCCTAACCATTTCTTTAATCCCCACAAAACGACTTCATTTTCACGTAATCGTCATACATATATATAAATACAATGTTTATATAAAGATACAAGATTTCATTTGGGTTTTTCTTCTTCTTTAATACCCACATCGTATATATACAACTTAACCCCCTCACAATCTACCAAAAACTAAAAGAACCCACCTTTCATATTTCAGAGTACTCTGTTTTCTGCCACAAAGCAGACAACTTCATTTTTAACAAGATGCTAAGTTCTTCTACTGAGTCATCAAAAGAGGAAGCTAGTCCACTGAGTCACCTCCTCAGCAGCATCTCTTCCTACGACAGCAATGTAATGCTCGCCGCAGTCATCTCACTTCTTCTCGTCATCCTCTTTGTCTTGCTTCTTCACATCTATGCCAGATGGTTCTTGGCTCAAGCTCGCCGGCGGCGCCAAAACTCCATCTCCATCTCTCATGTTCTCCGACCTCCCGCTAGATTCCACCATTTCCATTCTTTCAGCTTCGACGCCTCCTCCCTCTCCAACACTCCATCAAAAGGTCTTGACTCCTCTGCCATTTCGTCTCTTCCTCTCTTCTTTTACAGCTCAAATGGGTTGGAGTTGGAGTGCGTCATCTGCTTGAGCAACTTTGAGGAAGGTGATGCTGGGAGGAGTCTGCCGAAATGTGGACATGGGTTCCATGTCGAGTGCATTGATATGTGGTTGAAATCTCATACGAGTTGCCCCATTTGCAGAGCTCCTGTTGTGACCGTCAGTGAGAGCAAGAATGGAGGCAATGAAAATCATGCAGACCCAGATGGAAATCCGAGTGGAGAGCTTGTAGTGGAGGTGGTGATGAGCATTGATCGCCATGATCGTGGAGTTGGTGAGGTTGATGATGAGGAGTTGCAGAGAGGGAGTAGTGATGTACCGAGTTCTGATCAGAGTAATCAAAACGAAGGTGTTAATGAGATTAATGACTCTTTATGTTCATCATCATCATCATCATCATCTTCTTCTTCTTCTGCTCTGGGTCTGTCATCGTCATTGATTGGATGTTCTTTGAAGAGGATGTTGAGTAGGAACAGATCGGAGAGGAAAATCTTTTCATCATCTAATGCGAGTGAATCAGATGTTTAGAGTAGACAGATGTAGAGAAGGAGAGATTGATTGCTTCTTGTTCAATTTTTTGGTCAACGTTTCCGTTCAATTCCCAGCATTTTGTAAAGCAAGAACATGTACAGATTGCTTCAAAAAAATGAAGTGTTATATCATCTTCATTTCCTCTCAGAATTTCTGTACTGGGTGAAGTTATACTGATTTCAGAATCAAAGTTTCACTTGTAAGATGTTTGGTTTAATTATACAAGTCTATACATATATTATGTGGAGAAATATAGAAGAATTTGATTAAGAATTTTGAGGGGAGAAAAGGAGAAGGAAAAGAAAACTTGGGTTGGGGTGTAAAAGAAAAATAAATTATAAAGTTGGTGAGTCAGAGAGCAGTAAGTTCATGTCTTGGGGTTGAATAAATGGGGCATGTGAGGTGAAGGAGAATGGTCAAAACAACAGCTATATTGGCCAGCCAATAACTTCATTCACATTGATTGGAGATATCTTTTCTTGGATCTGCACCATTTAATTTCATCATCGTATTTCTTTATTTATATGTTTTTCTGCATTTAAGACACCAGTCCTAACCTACATGTTGTTGCTTCCAATTGTAAGACAAAACCCCTATTAAAATTTTGTTTTGTTTTTTAATTTCTTCAATTATTACAATTAACTTATTAATCTTTTTTTTTTTTTTTCCAAATACATTATTGAGTTATCTGTTAAAATATATAAATTTTTGTATAGATGATAACTAAGTAATAAACATATCATACTTAAAAATATACTCTTAAGATTTATGTAAGTACATAATTGTTTAAACATGTGACAATATTATCATTTAAAAACTTTTTAAAACGTATCATATGAGATATATATGCTTAGTATTCGATTATTGGATGTAGAGAAAAAAGCTAAAGAAATTGATAAGATAAATAAGGAGATAATAAAACAAAAAGTTTATTATTCTTTCAACACTATCAAAAACAATAACTTTGGGCTCACTACGAGCATTGTGATGGTTGTTGGCCCAAAATTGTAGCAGCAAATTATTCAATTTGAACAATTTAATTGCTTCCTAAACTAGATTAGATTGGTGAAAACTAGAAAAAGAATACCGCTGAATCAACCCTAAAAATGTAGACTAGTAAGCAAATTATTTAAGCTATGATGGGTTTGTAATCTTTTCACTTTAAATCAAGTTTCTATCTACAAATGTCTCCTCTACGATTTGATTAATTTTGCACATCCATTTGGGAAGACAAATAATTTCGTCAATCACACATCTTAGCTTCTAAAAAATATGCACTATTTTGAAAAATTGTAGATTTCCTCATTTCTCAATACTATCTTTGACATGCATTCATCTTCCTTCACCAAGATTGAGTATCCTATGGGCTTTGCAATCTTTCCACATGTAACAATGCATGTTTATCAATGATCCTTTAGATAGTTCTTCAAAACCTAGCAGAAATCTGAGACATGATCAACTACTTCTTCCAGTCAAACGTTGATTAGTTCCGCTAGAATTTATTATTGAAGAAAGTCTAACACGAGAAAAATATGTGTTCGATTTTCTCAGTATAAACCATTTTGCAAGAGATCTGAGGATAAACTTACTATGGGATGTGAAAAGGATGTAAGGTATGAACTCATATAAGTTCTTCTCAAGTAAAGGTTAGACGTGTTGACAACACAATGAACTCGTTACAGAATGACGTAAATAAGAACCTTGAATCAAGTATGATCAACTTTGGATTGTTGCAGAAGACAATAAAGTTGTAGATGAGGACTTTGTCTTGGAAGAGAAAATACAAAAAAGGAGGAGAAAATTAAGATTTTTTTTTTAGTTTTAAATAATCTTATCGGAAATATATGTGTATATATATATA